AGTTATAAGATTCGCCAGGTTTTGCCAAAGTGGTATTCCTTAACTTCAGAATGTGTAACGGTTTTTTTTTTTTTGTCAGTTTTGTTTATTGTTTGTTTGTTTGTTTGTTTGTTATTTAAGGAGTCTAGGTTGCACAGTTGTCGAAATGTTAACAGGGAAACCTCCTCTGGGTCATCTTGAGTCAGCGGCGGCCATGTTTAGGATTGGCTCCAAACCCATCGAGCCTACGCTGCCAGAGAATGTATCATTAGATGCAAAAGAGTTTGTTAAGGCTGCTTTGACCTGGTTAGTACTATTTAGAAAATAGCTGAGACACTACTTGCGCTCTGATTGGTCAAAAACGTATCGTTTATTGCACCGGTAAACACAAGGTTTCCGACACGGAGCAGACTACACGCAACACTACTGGCTGATATATCAATAACACGAATAACATCTTATACAACAAGCACATAGAAATTTGTAAGGAAAAACAGGACCAGAATTTGGTCGTGATGTAAGCTTGAACTTAATGCTTGATTTTCCATAGCCAAACTTTTATGCTGATTCTGTTTACGCTTGAGTTTAGAAGTAAGCTTTAAGACGAAATCCGAGAGTAAATCGACAAATTTTAGTTTTTAGTGGACAAAAATCAGTACCAGAATAATTTTAATTATTTTACAGTCCTTTTTACATTTTCTTAAAGCTAAAGATATAAATATTTACCTGAAATAACACCGAAAACAATTCCCCATGGTAACAAGAGAAAATATATTTCAAAGTTTAGAGAAATTGTGCAAACACAGGTAAAATTTCATCACCAGGTTCATTTCACCAGTACTTTTAAGTCTTTCATACGAAGTTCAACATTTGTTTTCGACGTTTGGTGTTGCTGGAAATGATTTCTTTTTTGAGAAGATATTTAAAACAGTCACACAGAAGTTTGCAATATGATTTAAATAATCTTCGTATTGACCACTTGTTACTCAAACTTCTGGTGGATTCCGTTTTAAGCTGTCTCAGTGCTTTCTACGGCCGTCTGTGGAGGACGCAGTCCTGACTACAGCTCGGCTAGACTGATCAATTTGGTTTGTCAAAAAAGCAAGGAAAAGATTTCTTTTAAGTTAACATTAAGTTTAATTACCAGTAGTTTTAAGTTTAAACTCAATGCACGCATCCATAACACAATAAATAAATTTGGTTGCCATTAAGCGTTCAAGCAGTAGTTTTCATTCAGCAAAATACAGAGAAGCACAGACTTCATAGCCTTCAACATAAGTAAATAAATTCTGAATAAATTTCAAAAAAGCGTTCTTAGAACTAACCTTTTTATTCCATTTGCAAAACTTTTTAAAGTCATCGTTGAATCACAACGTCAAGCGCCTGAAGTTTTTACTACTTGCAAACGTTTCATATAGTTTTCCTTTCGTGATAACTGATTCCGACCGCGAATTCCTGCATTTTCCCCTCAAAGTTCTTTTGAATTAATTAATACACTCTCTGTCTTTCAGCGATAACCTTTCCTTCCCTTTCCTAAAACATTTATAGCGCGTAATGTTTTCGTCGCTTTCCTCTGGGGATTTTGTGTCCGACGCCGAGCCTAAGCTTTCATTCTTTCAGCTTCTGCAATCCTGCGTAAGAAAGGAAATGGCGACTGGTATATTTACCCATAATTCTTAGCCCTGGAAAATTTTAACAACGCTCATAAAAACGTACAGAAAAGTCCTAAAGTCTTCAAACCTAGCGTACACAATGTTGTTAGCACAGGGACAAGTATCGCAAAAATATGGCTTTCCTGGTACAGTCCTGCCATTTGTTTTTTCCTACGGCGGATTGGTTTGCCGCGCTATCTCATGAATTTGTTGCGAATAAACAACTTGATCACGAAAGTACAATAAATTTCATTCTCTTTGACAAACATTTTCCATAGTTATTTCATAAAAGGCGGTGTTTGTCGAAGGACATTGTTACGATGCAGAGAGAGGCAGTACTAATAAATTTGGAAAGTAGAAAAAAATGATTGAAAAAAATTAACACCTAATTCGTTTTGTTGTTATTGTAGGAAACCTGACGAGCGACCTTGGTCCGATGAGTTGCAACGTTACAACTTCGTTTCTAAAGGTACAGCCACAGAAATCGACAGAACTGTTTTTTAACCTTTTTTCCAGTTGTCCATTAGACTATATTATAGCACATATATCATCTACAGCTACTTAAAGAGCTCATGGCACAAGTACAGCCCATTGGAAATAAAAACCTACATGAGGTTACTGGAATATCCGTTCAGCGTATGGTGCATGTTTTCGTTTTCAGCAACTAAATGATGCCCTACCTCATTTTACATAAGGCCGAAAAACTTGTCATCAGGAATTATTTTCGAAATATGACGTCTGGATCTCGGACTTGGCTTAATCTCATCGAGGGCCAAGTCTAAAAAAATCATCGTATGTTTTTTAATTCCCGCCCAAGTTAATAATTTTAGGGGCAAGTTTTGATAAAAAGCAAAATAACACCCCACACCAGTTGTATTCAAGGCAATGTTTCTGAAAATCAAACCGAGCGATTTCTCTGAGATTTTCACTCCAGGCAATTAGATGTTTTAAGATTCATTTAACACCATAATACCATTTCGTCAAGTCTTGTGGACACAGTTTGCAATAACATTTTAAAACAGCTCCGTTTTTGTTGTATTTTGACACCTTAAAACTTTACTCGCAATTTTCTCGAAAACGCTCGCACAGATCTTTTTTTAAATTTTGCCATCGTTAAGACAACTGTGTCAAGTCCGAGATCCCGCCGTCATATTTCGAAAATAAACTCTGATGGCAAGTTATTCGGTCTTATGTAAAATGGTGTGGCCAGGAGCCATAATCGGGGACGGAGACTGTAAGCGCGCGCTATTTCTAGTATTGGGGCTGTCCCTATGATATGGGACAGTTTTTCTATTTTTAGAACAAATTGAACCATCATTTGTGGCACACGCGCGTACACGCTGCGAGGATTTTTGCAGATGTAGCGTGGGGAAATGGCGTCCGAAATTCCCGAAATGTTTGATGTTTTTGGCCCACAACTCAATACGTTCATGTCTGTTGGAATTTTTACTCCAGTATTTTCGTCGTAAGCTGCTTCAGCTTGAGTGAAGTAAGACAGTGTCGAAGTTAGCTATGTCCTGCTTTATATCACTGACCAAGTTGTGTTTCGTTGCTTCTTTTACAAGAGCTCCACATTACTCCACCGTAAGTTTCACATATGTTAAATATTAACAGCTTTTCCATAACACAGCAAAAAACTAGTTGGATATTTTTGGATATAGCAGCGTTTCAGGACTTCAAAGTTTCCCTCCTCTTGCCACACGCTTGCGGGGATCTCGCCAGAATCTAAGAAGTTAAAAAAAAAATAATAATAATTGCAAGTTTGAGTTTCGCCTGAATTGTAAGCAACGCTTGATGTTTTATCAAGGCCCAATAAGTGACAATAAGTTCATGTCTGTAGATGCTGCTCAGTTTTTTGTGTGTAAAAATCCAATGAATTGTCTGTTGTCGATGAATAAGAGCGCCCGCCAATGCGTGTTTTTACAGTCAGTAAAACATGACAAATTGGATTTCCGCACTTTCGTGTGAAAACGTACATCGAACTCATATAACATCTCTAGTTTTGAAATATGTTCAAGGTTGACAAATGTTTGGAAACATATATATATATTAAAAGCTTATCTAAAGATATGTGAATATGTAGGGGTCACTCCACCCCCACACAGTCAGTCACAGTCAGTCACGTGATATGTAGAAACTAGTCGACCACGAGGTGGAGAGACCAAAAAGAAAATAAAACGGTTGGACAAGTCTACGTTTTGATCTTGTCTTATTCTTTTGTGGCAACGAGGGCCAGCAAATACAGCAGAAATAATCAGCAAAGTTATGATGAAGCTTTCTTTAATCAACTCGAACAACAATTTCGATTTTTTTGGTCGAGTTATCAAAACTACTTCTCTATTTTATTTTCGCAGTGTAAAATTTCCCTATGTTAAAGAAACACACATGATGTTAGTAGTCTTTTGGCGTTGATGAAAATTGTTACAGCATCTCAGCACGAAAGATAACGAAAGAAATCCTTCTAAAGATTTGTTGACTATTGAAAACACCGACTGGGACTTAAAGTGAATGCGCTGCAATATGCAAATGAGCTACTTGTCCGCGTCAGACTTTTCTTTCAAAAACTTTTGCAAACTCGCCAAGCAAGCAGAAACAATAAGAAACTATGAAAAACAGTTTTTGGTTAGGTTTGAGAAACTTGCAAATTAACTCGATACCAGAGTAGATTGTTTTCCTACATAAGTTGACTTTTCTTTACAGAGCAAACGCAAAATCGCGTACAACTAGCGAGAGCAGATATTATTCATTCACAGCGCGAAATTGAAGCTTTGGACCCTGAAAAACTCACCTTTTGCATTAGCTCAGAGCATAAAACTACATGTAAGCACCCTGGTTCTTATCCCTGCCTTGTTCAACGCCATCGCTGTGAAAAATCCACAGGAGAATCTCGCATCTCTCACCATTTGATCACACAACGTGACAACATCCACACGAGAACCCACGACATGTGCGTGGATCCACGCGGATATATGACGTCAGGATCGCGCAATTTGTTCTAAAAATAGAAAAATTGTCCCATATCATAAGTGCACGCGGATCTCAAGACTTACGTTCTCCGTCCTCGATTATGGCCCCTGGTGTAGCGTTATTTCGTTGCTATGGTAACTCAGATCCTGGTTAAATGTACCCCTATTGAAACTTTCATCTTCCTCTAGCACACAGGTAACGTTTGATTTTCTGTCAGATTGATAATGCTGTTCTAGTGGCTCAAAGTTGAAAGGTATCGTTACTGAAAAATTGGATCGAGCCACCATAAGGTAAATGGAACAATTCGAACTGGGAGCACTTAAAAATATTCATTTTCATTTTTATGATACAATGTGAGTGCGATCTGGTGAATTTCAAATCACAATCTGGGCTGAAATGAAATGAAAATGACACATAACAGTCTGATGCTTTAACATTCAATCAATCTATCAATCGAAATTACTACCCGTTTTTTGGGTTACGTTATCAATGGGCGGCATTAGCAACTCGGACGTCTTTCTATGAAGCAAGCGACCGACAGAAGCTGGCTAAAATTCAAGGTAACTTTCAGGACACTTGTTCTGAACCCTTTCCGCGTACGCGCATTCTGTTATGCGAAAACCAAGTTGACGCAACTTGCCTAGACATTTTTAGAGTGATAAGTGGCCTGAATCTATTTCTTTGCAGGTTGGGTACATTTTTAGTTGCGTTTTTTGGCGGGAAAAACTTAACTGATTTCTTCGATTATTGGCGTCCGAAATAAAGACCGTTTGAATTTTAAGGGGATCTCATTTATTGCTGTATTTCATCATATTTTTCAAACTTCATTTATATAAATACTACCCATTATTTTGGATTTGGACGGCAGTTTTGTCGTCCCATATCTTTACTTTTGTGCCTGCAAGCTTCAAGGCAAGAGATTTTCTGCATTGATAAACAGAAAACACGTCAGACGAACACATAAAAAAGTTAGTTTTAACTTGTATGCAGTATAAAATATTCCGTTTCTTATTGAGCCGTGTTTGTCATAGGTTTCTGATTGCTCACTTTCTTTCAATAAAACTTTGGGTAACTTCAACCTTTCAGATGGCGGATAGTCTGGTGACACTGCTGTAGAAGGCACAAGTGTAATAACTGGTCACAAATATAATAAAGTCACATGTGTAATAAGGTTTGGTCACCAATGTAAAAAGGGTTCACTAAGGTCTGAGTCGTCATATCATCGAGGCTCGAATAGAAAAGAGAAACCTTAAAACCTTGACATACAGAGTTGCGTACACTTCCCCAGTCACAGGAAAAAGCGAAAAGAAGTGGCTGCCCGTGGATGACATCACAAGTCTCAAGCTCCGGGAGGAAAAATGTAAACAAAAGGCTGCTAAGTTATCCAAACGGAAAAAAAAACCCTGCACCGCGCAAAGTTTAATTTGGTAATGAGTCATGAAGATTACACCAAGATAATAGAACATTAGGGTTTTCAAGTTGTATATAATCCAGGAGATGGCAACTGCCAATTTGCTGCTCTAGCCCACCAGTTAAATACACTAGGTATTTTCAGATCTCCCGAAACTGTGCGTAAAGAAATAATGGACTATTTGCGAAATAAACCAGTTGATAACGATGGCTTCCCACTTTTACTACACTTAGTAGACTCTGAGCTTCCATCCTGGCAGGAATATCTTCAATATATGGCGAGAAAGAACACATTTGGCGATCAATTAACATTGTTTGCAGCAGCAAATCTATACAACATCGATATCCAGATTGTATCTACACCCGGGGCTGGGGCACAACATGTATTCCATCCATCATCGAGCATCCCTCTTGCTACCGTTTATCTCGGCCATTTTGCCAAAAATCATGGGGAACATTATGTGAGTC